CGGTGCGCTGTACGTGGACGGGCTGTCGGTGCAGACGGCGCTGGGGCTGTGCGTGTCGGTGGAGGGCGGTGTTGCGGCCAGCGGTGTCTCCGTGGTGGCGTTTGTTGACAGCGACTTCCTGCTGTGCAAGCACGCGGTGTCTGTGCGTGGGGCTGTGAGCGTGTCGGGCTCCGCTGTGGCGTTTGTGCGGAGCGACTTTTTGTCGATGGAGGACTACGCGGTGGCGTTTTATTCGACGGTGAGCCTGGCCGACGGGTCGATGCTGCTGGCGAAGAGCAACGTGCACGACGGCGGCTCGAGGGAGATGCTCTACGCCGCTGGCGCCGTGACCGCTGCTGGGAGCACGCTGAGCTTTGTGCGCAACCGAGCGCTGCTGCCGCGGATGCTGTCGGCGAGTCTGTCGCTCTCGGCTGGGGCGCATTTGAGGGTGGCGTGCAACTACGCGGGTGGGCGTGTCCTGTCGATGGCGGAGGAGTACGCAGCGGCTGGTTTTGGCGACGCTGGGAGCATCGACGTTGTTGGGTGCGACGCCTGCGACAGGGATATTTACTGCTACGCGCCCGGGACGGCGAATGCGAGCATGAGGAACGGTGTGTGCGTGTGCGAGTGCGGCAGCAGCGGGTACGGCGAGGCGTGTGTGCCTGTGGGCGCTCCCGCGCTGCCGCCCGCTGTGGGCACTGCGTCGAGTGTGTTTGTCCGCGAGGGCGTGATGGTGCAGTCGGTGTTCGTTGTGCCTGCCGGCGTGAGCGAGGTGACGCTGCGCCACGTTGTGCTGGACGGCGTGAGTCCGGTGCTCTACGTGCCGTGGATGGCGCGGGACGGCGTGCGGATCGTTGTGCAGAACGTGTCGCTGCTGAACGGCGCTGTGCTGTACGTGATGGGCGGTGGAGCGTTGCGCGGTGCGGGTGCGGCGGGGAGCGACGAGAGCGGGCCGGTGGAGCTGTCGGTGTGCGATGTGGAGGCGCTGAACGGTGCGCTTGTGCTGACCGGTACGTTCCCCGCGGGGTCTGTGCTGACGGTGACGGACTCCCTGCTGGTTGCCACGAGGCCGACGCCGCTTGTGTATCTTCCCGGCTCGCAGTCCTCGCCGTACGCACCGGTGCTTGTGCTGTCGGGTCTGCGGCTCGTGCGGTCCGTGCTGGTTGTGTCCGGCGTTGCCCTCGTGACGGTGATGACTGGTGGGCGGACGGTGGTGGTGGACGGCGCTGTGCTGGAGCTTGTTGGTGGCGGTGTCGCGGTGGACGCGGCTGTGCTCGGTGGCGAATATGCGTTTTACGCGAGTGTGCGCGTGGTTGCGTCGGGAGGCGCCGTGCTGCGCGTGTCGGGGAGCCAGGTGTACGCCGCGCATGGGCTGGTGTTTGGCAGCGGGGTGGCGGCCAACGCGTCCGCCGTCGTAGTTAACGACAACGCCGGTGCGCTGACCGATGGCGCGCTGCTGGTGCTGCGGGGGTCGGCGTCGCTTGCGTCTGGGTCGTGGCTGTCGGTGCGCGGCAACAGCATCAGTGGCAGGCTCCTGTCGGTGCCGTCGTACCCGCGCCGTGCGGATCTCGTGCAGAGCACGCTGACGCTCTATGGGAACGCTGGCAGCGGGCCCGTCGTGATGGACGGCACCGTTGCGCTCGGGGGCACCGGCCGAAGGTTCGTCGTTGGGTGCCTGACGCTGAACGGGCAGGCGCTGCAGCCGATGAACTACAGGTCCGCCGGCATCATCGGGGAATTCCGCCCCGTGGCGTGTGGCGTGTGCGATGCCGACGTGAGTTGCTTTGGTGCTGCGACGAGGACGATGTCGGGGTCGTGCGGCTGCCGCTGTGCTGATGGCGGGTACGGGCGCGACTGCCTGCCGGTGTACCTGCCGCACGTGGACGGGTGCAACCGCACGCCCGCCATGCCGCCGCTGAGCCACACGGCGACGCTGACGGAGACGCGCAGCCCGACGCCAACATGGACGCCGAGTCTAAGCGCAACGCACTACAGTCCGACGTGGTACGGGCCGACGGAGACCCTGCAGGTGACGGGGACGGTGGCGCTGTCGCCCACGCGGACCCCGACGACGTCGGTGAGCAGCACGCCGTGGTGGAGCGAGGTGGCGTGCCCGACGCTTGCTGTGACGACGACGGCGGCTGGAGGAGGCCTGACGCAGAGCGACATCCGTGGCAGTGGGAGCGCCGTCCCGACGCGGCTGATGGTGTCGCTGCCGCCGCCGTTTCGTTGGGCACGTGACCCGCGGCTCGGTACGCATCTGAGCTTCGTGTCGGTGTCGACGGCGCAGCCGAGCGGGTTTGGCGGTCCGTGGGGAGCGATGCTGAGCAACGCGAAGTGGGTGCGCAACGCGACGAATCCGTCCACTGTTCTGGAGCTGGCTGTGCCCGTGCACCGCGGTTACTTCATTGCTGCCGACGAGACGATAGTCATTCGCTGCGACGCTGTGGCGGTGTCCGGCGGCTGCAAGGGTGTGCTGCTTGGTTCCTTCACGATCAGGTCGGACACGCTGCCCGCCGCCTCCAGCGCCCTCTCGGCGATCACCGGCGTTGTTGCGGGTGCGACGGCTGTTGCCGTGGTGGTGACCGGCGGGCTGGGCTCCGTCCTGGAGATGCAGGCGCTCGGCGTGTTGGCGAGGATGCCATGCGCCTCGGCGCAGGAGCGTGCGAGCACCGTTGCGCTGCCGTACTTCCTGTCGGTGTTTGCTGCCCTTGACCCGCTGTGGATGGTGGTGGCCAACGCGCTGCTTGCCGCTGTGTTCGGGTGCGTGCACTGCGGTGTGACGGCGGCCTTCCAGCGGTGGCGCGGCGTGGACGCGGCGAGTGCGTGGGCTGCGATGCGCTTCCCGAGCCTGACGTACGTCGTGGCGCACGCGATGCACCTCGGCATATTCTTTGGCTCGGTGCTTGCACTGGCGATGCCCGGCGCCCGCGTGCAGCACCGCGTGGTTGGAGTTGTTGGCGTGCTGTACGGTGCGGCGTTTCCTGCTGGCGTGTGCTACTTCATTGCCCGCCACACGGGCGCGAGCTTTACGAGGTACTGGCAGTTTTCGAGAAAGCCGCTGCACGAGCGCCTGCTTTACCCCGTCGGGTATTGGCACCCCGCGGCGCAGCAGCGGATGTACGGCAGCATGCTGACGAGCATGAGGGGCAGCCACGTGTACTGGTGCGTGTTCCAGCTGTCGGTGCTGTGCGTGGTGTGCCTGATTGCTGCTTTGCACCCGCCCGTGGGAGGCTGCCACGTCCAGTACTTCTGCATGGCTGCTGTGCTGCTTGCGGCGCTGTGCGTGGTCAGCGCGGCCAACCATCTTGCGCCGAGCGAGGGCGGTGCGAGGGCGTACGCGGCGATCGTGCTGCTGCTGACCACCGTGGTGCTTGCGGTCACTGTGTACAGTACCGTTGTGTGGTACGCGGAGGACCGCCACTGGCAGGAGCTGCGCGAGCCGCGGCGTGGCGGGCTGGAAGCGCTGCTGCGCGATGACGAGGAGAGCGACGAAGAGACGCAGAAGCCCCACGAAATGACGTCATCGTCGTACGCCTCAGTCACCACCGTTGCGTCGTCGTACCGACCACCCGCACCGCTGCAGCCCATGGCCGGTGACACCCGCTCAGACGCACAGAGCCTGCTCGAGTGTGCACCCAGTGCGAGAGGCAAAATTGGTTGTGCTACGCCGGAGAAGTAATGAATTTGTGCTGCTTGACGAAAAAGTTGGCGCAGTTTTACCTCGAGTTGGAAAGTGTCTGCCCAAGCAATACCTCCACGTGGCGAGAATGTACGAGGCTCCTCATGGTTGCGGCATAGAGTGGACGCTTTTGGCAATGTGTTTACTTCTTTATTATTATTATTGGATGCTTGGTTGATTGAGTCGTTTTTTTATTTTATCGATTATCGAAGACAACGGATTATCGAGCTATCACGCCAGCCCGGGGGCGGATGCGTAACGGGTGCGTGTGCGTATGTGTTTTGCGCTTTTCGCTGCAACACCGAATATGGGGACTAGGGTTTCTATTTAGATTTTTACTCATCACTGAGGACGCGCCCGACGACGGTGGGTTTTGTGCGGATCATAGGATGCATTCAGGAAAGCGTTAGGGAAAACAATCGATGAAGCCCTTCTGCGAAGCGTCACCTCCTGGAAGTTGTGAGTGTGCGTCGCTGGCTGACATGTGGGAGGGCGTGGGGGCCACGGCTGCGCAGCCACCCATCGGATTCCGCCCCGAAAGCGTCATTGATTGTTGGTTTTTGTTGGTTTGTTTCTATTTTTTGTGCGGGCGCCTGCACTGACTCTCCCTCCTGTTCCACGATGACTGTGTGGGAGGGCATGCCTGCCGCTCTTTATGCTTCTGGTGTTGTGTAGAAAGAGCAACGAGAGAAGGAACGAAGAAGTATGCGGAGTCATGTATGTGTTTGTGGATTTATATACTGGTGTATTCTTTTGGATCACTCTGGTGGTTCCTTTTCTTTCTTTTTACGTTGTTTTAAATGTGTCTCAGTGTTTGCTTTAGGACGGCCACACACGGGCAGTTTGAGTCGCGGATGTTTTTTTGTGCCTGACGCCATTTCCTGTTAGGTGCTGACGCGGTCACGTTCGGCAAGCATCCACTCTCCACAGCGTGGCGCCTGATATTTTGGAGTCATCTCAGATGTAACGCCGGCACCACCGCCGTGGCACGCATGGGAGGTAAGATGGAACGCGGGACAGCGAAGGATATTGTGCGGCACATGTGTCTGTTGCATTTGTTCTGTTGTGGTGGCTTCAATGTAGAAGGAGGGGGATCAACATTGCACGATTTCGTGGCTTGGAGGAGTTATTGCGCCCTTTTTTAAACATATTTTTGGTATGATCTTTGGTTCCCGCCCGTGTCTGCTCCGATTGCTTCCCCTGAGTGGAGCTGCGCCACGGCCATTATTATTATTATTTTTTTGGTTGTTTGCGGGAGGAAAAACACATTGCGGGTGAAGAAACCACACTTCATGTATGCGGCGTCCAGGGACGTACGTATTTGGGGTGGAGTGCACGTATGCGGATGTCACGTGAGAAGGAACGGGGGTTGACTGCCCAACCGTCACTCCTTTTCTGGAGAGTGTGCTCCTATTTTTTTTTCTGCCCTTTTGTGTCAGGGCACGGCGGGATTGAGGGCCACCGTCCCACGAAAGTCTTTGCGCACATACACACTCTCATGCCACCGTCGCCCCCGAATTCAGGAGTAAAAACAAAATTCCTGCTGCTTTTTGCATTGGCGCAATTATTTGTTTATCAACTGACGCCATTCTGTCCGGCGTGTCAATTTGATTGGATTGTGTGGGATTGCTCGCCGACGCCATCAAACAAAACGGGCTGAAGAATTGACTTATTTAAACGTCGTCTTGCGCGCAGGTATTTTTCTTACTTCTGTTTATGTGCACTCAAACAGCGAGGAATCCGGAACTATGCGTGCGTGGGAATTCTTCCTGCCATGTGGACTGCGGGCAGCACCGAGGGGCTGTCACTTTACTCCGCAGAGTTGTTGTGTCTCTTCGCAGGGTTGGCAGGGGAATTCCATGCAGCCAGCTACTGCTGGTGTGTCCTTAGATGTTGTCACTCCATGCGAATAATGTGCTTCAGCGAGTGAGGGTGTTGATTGGTTTTGTGCGCACTCTGATTCTGTTTGCTACTTTGTGCGGGCACGCAACGCTTGAGTGGTGGGAAAATGGAGCGGGGCGATGCCTGGCTCCTCCTCGCCCATTGTTCAGTGCACGGTGGTGTGGTGCACATTGTGGTGCTTCCTCTGCGATATGAGTGCGGTCTTCTGTGCGGCAATGGCAGTGGGTGGAGGAGAGTGTTGACCCGCGGCGGGACGGTAGGAATGTGCCTACTTTTTACTTTTCCCTCTGTGAAGGTGTGCACTTATTTTTTGTGTCGGTGATGGGGCAAACAGACCGACAACGTGAATAATACAGAAAAGGGCGATAATGTGGCGTTGTTTTTGCCGATTGGACGTTGTGTTGCTGCGGGGGCGGTGGGCCTTGACTGTTTCACCGACAGGCGTTGCAGTGCGGCTGCATGGCGCACCGACCACCCCGCCGTGCGAGTGCCACGCCCAACGCCATTGGGACTGCGGGACGAAACAGCCGCGAGTGTCCTTTGGAGCCAGCGGCACCAGCTGGACGCCGTTGGGCGGTGCGAGTGGGATGCTTCACCGCACGGGTTTTGCGATGGCGCCTCGAAGCGGCATCTCCGGTGATGGTTCCGACGCTGCAACTCGCAGAGGAGTGGAGGGAACGAGGCGACCGCAGTGGACCATGAGCAGCAGCGTTGAGGAAATCCTGCTGGAGGGAAGCAATAACAGCACCGACATGAAGCTGAATGAATTCCTTCGGAATTATGTTGGCGGCAGGACGGCCGTTGGTGAAGACCACAACGTGACGATGCAGGTGTTTGTTCAGGAGCCGGATGCTTACGTACAAGACCAGCGGCTTCTTAGAATTATTTTTAATTTAACAGAGTACCGGGTGTACAAACTTCACCACGAGGGTGTGTTCTCGCTCGAGCAATGGAGGGACTATGAAGGAAAGGATACGGTCACTCTTATTGCAAGGGGAAAACTAAACGCAGCCCTTTTTCAGGCGCGGACATCAACGAAGGTGGTTAAATCAACGGTGCTGAAGGGATTGTACCAGTCTGTGTGCAATGCGAGGTGGAGCCATGTCGTGGAAATACCCGATTGTGAGGAAGAGCAAACAGAAATGGGAATGAAGGTGGAGAAGGGGAAACCGAAACAGTCATGGACGTACAAGAAAGTTGGTGACACCCTCTAAAAGGATGACAGTGTGCAGCAGTCCGGTGCGGCGCGTCCCAGGCTGATGGTGCTCACCTCGGACATGGGATGGCCGTACTCGTGGAGGGAGAATAAACTCATTGTTGACTGCTATGTGAACTGTGAGGTGGATCGAGCGTGGCAGATTGTCAGCGGCGATCTCACCGAGTGGTTCAGCCCTCACGGTGGGGCCGACTTTAAGCCCAAGAGGCGTCTGTTGGTTGGGACGCCCGGGATCGGGAGGTCGATGGCTGCCGGCTCGTACCTCCTCTACCAGCTGCTGCACTACGATGTCGAGCAACTCCAAGTGGTTATATATGTTATTGCGGAAAAAGCATTCCTGTTTGACAAGACCGCCAAGACGGTGACAAGATACATAAATCTCTCCGCTATGGAGTATTTTTTTGATCTTGAATCTCCCCGTGGGATGAGAGGGTATGTCATTTACGATGTGTTAGTGAAGGGTCGTAATCCGTCGTTTTTTTTGTTCCTTCCGAATGGGGCATGATTGTACTGACAACACCAAAAGAGAATAACTTTGAGGGATGGAGGAGGCATAAGACAGCGGTGCCACTCATAATTAATTGTCCTGACAGGATTGATGTGAAGGCAATGTGCTTTTGGAGGAAGCACATGCAGCCCACGGGGGAACAAGTGAGGGAACAGGCGAAATACTGGGAAACGGTGGAGGAGCGCATGGATGAAGTGGGTCCGATCCCACGTTGTATCTTCAATCAGTTAGAATATAAAATTCAATTGTCCGCGATTGAAAAAGCTGTAAAACTTATTGAACCTTCTAATTCTACGGATTACATGGGTGTGGGAAGGAGTAAAATTTGGATTGCTGAGTATGTTTCTCACACAATCGTGAAAGTTGTCCGAGTGCGAGAAGCGCCAGGAATCGAAGTAGGTTGCAACGCACCGGTCTCCCGTTCGGCCATGGCTACGATAACTTATCATCTAACACATATGACGCCGCCGGTCGATGTTTTCAATCTGTTGCTGCGTAAATTCGGTTGCTTTCTGTGGGTTGTCTTTGAGTATGCAGGCACGGCCGCGTTTATGAATCCGCATGCCGTGGATATAATACAAAGAAAACTCACTGAGCTACAGCCAGAAGGACGAATAACGTCGCAGTTTTCGGTATTGAGCAACAAACCTCGAGGTCACCCCACCCGCAGTGAAACATTAAAAAAACTGCGTGGCAACCCTGACAGGATGGATTTGGAGTGCGGGGTGTTGTACCTACCGGTTGTCGGAAACTTTCCGCTGGTGGATGCCCTTTTCTTCATGGAGTCACCGTGGAAAGCGCTGGTTGGGCTGCGGACGACTACGGCAAATGCACACCACACCCAAACCAGCAATTTGAGGCTGTTTAAGGAGCGTGTGGCGAGTTATTTTAACGGTTGGGAGGAATTTGCCCGCGAATTGTCGTGGGAGATTATTTATGTGCAGCACGCAGACAGCACGCCGATAAGTGACTGGCAGAGATGTAATGATTCGGCGAATTTAACAGAAGCTGAGAATCGTGAAATAGCGGCGTTCTGGGAGGAAAAGGTACACCAGTATCAAGTGACAGTAACAGCCGAAATGTTATGGCAAAACAGGCTACCTGAAGTCAGTGATAACTAAAGAAATGGGGAAAACGAATTGGGAAAGGGGCAACCTTTATTTCTGGTAGAAAATATTGTGAGATTTATATATTTTTGGATAGTTGTGTGTGTGTATACATTGCGGGTGCACCAGCACCAGGCGGCAGCACCGCACACAAGTGTTAATAATGCTCAACGCTATCGAGCATAACAGTGACCGAAGAAATTAGGGAGGGAGTGGGGTTGCTTGGTTTCTGGTGAAAAACATTGGGTGGTTTTTATATGGTATGTTGATTGTGTGTGTGGGTGCATACGGCTCGGGTTTGACAGTACCGAGCGGCATTATTGCATAAAGTTGTCAAAAACGAGCAACGCTATCGATCATATCATTTTAAGAATAATAAAGAAGAGGGAAATTTCTGTTTATTGTGAAAAAAAGGTAATTTTTATAAATTCGTATACCTGTGCCCATATTAGGAACAATCGTATAATCGCTTTGTTATGAAAGAAATATTGCGTCTGGCGGTGTTTCGGTGCCAATGCATTTTCCATTTTCTTTTTTTTTTTTTTTTTTTTTTTTTTTATGCCCATTGTTAACAGAAGCATTTTCAAGGAATGGACGAAGGATAAGTTCTGAGGAAATGCCGCACTCCGTGTGACCGCGTGGAGTGAGGCGCCGCGTCATGGATGGGTGAGGGATCGCTTCTGCGTGCGGCACTTTGGGTGATTGCTCGCTTGGTGTGCGTTTGTTGTGTGGAGGGCCGAATCTTTTCTTCCGCAGACTGACGACACTGCGATGGTGTCTGTGTGAGAGGGCTGGTGTGGAGTTGCCGGCCAGTGTGAGGGCCGTGGCGGTGCTTTTCCCGCTTGTAATTTGTTTCTTTTGTGTGTTGTGCTGCTTCTTGCTTTTTTCCCCTCTCACCCTTTTCCCCTGTGTTCCTGTGTGGAGTGGCCGCATGCTCACGGGCCATGTGGATTGTGAGTGCCTCCTGACGGCGTCCATTCATCTCCCTCCGCCTGTCTGTCTGTCATTCTCTGTTGGGTGTGGCGTGTTGCACCGCGCGAGGGCTGGCCCGCACACACCGACGGCCCGCCGTGACGCCCGCGATGGCCGGTGCGGAGTGGCGGTGCTCGCTGTCTCATCTCTTTACTTGGCTTGTTTTCCCCTTTCCCTCTACTTTTTGAACACAGACACGCTAGGAAAGCAAACAAACGCGAATCGCCACTGTGAAATTCGAAGGCTCTGAAAGAACCAACAACAGCACACACTGCCCACACACATATTTGTATGCTCTCACGTGTTGCTGCAGTGAAGGCACCCCGCACACACAACCGTCGCCGCGTGACCGGATCCGGTGGAAGGAGGAGGGAAGGAAGAGAGAGTGAGCCGCAGAGGCCCAACATGTCCCGGCATCACTTCCGCCGCGCTTTTCATCGTTGCGATGATGTGCTGCGGTAGTGAAGCTGCGACCGCTGTGGGGAGTAAGGCAGGGGAAGTGCAACTGCCGCAGAAGATCGACGTTTTTGTGCCGAATATGATGCCAGTGGTGTCAAGGGATGGCACTGGGTTATTTGAAGTGAAGAAAGCATTTGTTTCACCCTCTCTTTCGTGCTGGTGGGGTGATGGTTGCCATTGCTGAAGGCTTGTTTGAGTATAACGCCCATGAAAACAAATTGTTTGTGGTTCGATTTCCCGACATTGTGGCCGGGTACATCAAGGCTGCGGAGACGTGGCCGTCCATTGTTGCTGGGATCACCAAGAAGGAGTGGAAGGCACACACCACCCTTGGCAGAAGGAATGGCGATAATCGTTTGCGCGTTTTGCACCGGTCCACAGCAGTTGCGAAGGACAGTAAGGTGTTTCTGCTTGTGGGAATCGATACTGTAGGATATGGCAATGGTGATGATATTTAGGAGATGGATGGGATATTCAACTGGTTGAGGGTGTGGCCA